TCCTAGCTCTTTCCTCTATTTCCTTTGACTTTCCTCTTGTCCCACTATCATGCTCAGCCTTCATTTGGGTTTCAGTAATTCCTCTTGGTTAAATTACCCTTGAGCACACCCTACCAGGCCTCCTACATCCTCCTCACCACCAATTTGGATCACTTGTTGTTCCCTTGTCCTGGGGTTAACACCACTTCCTTCCTTCCACCTCCTCTTCTCCCATGTCCCCCCAGAACTGTCAGTCCCGGTTGTTTTCTGTGGCATAATCTTAATATTTATAAATTCTGGGCACAGGATTAATGTATGAGCACTATATTGTTCATATATTGATGTGTTGGGTGCCATCAAATTGATTTCTACTCCATTCCATTGCCATTGAGTTGATCACAACTCACTGCTATTTATTTATTTATTTATTTTTAAAATTTTTTGCTATTTATTTTTTCAATAAAATTTATTTATTAAAAAATTTATTATTTTTTCAAAAAATAATTTTATTGGGGGCTCTTACAGCTCTTTAAATTTTTATTTATTTATTTATTTTAGACTCTTACAACTCTTGTCACAATCCATACATCACTTGCACCAGGTGAATTTGTATATATGTTGTCTTCATTCTTTTCTAGACATTTACTTTCTATTGAGCCCTTGGTATCAGCTCATTTTTTCCCTTCCCCTCCCCCCAACCCTCATAACCCCTTGAAAGATTGTACATTGTTCCTATTTTCATATCTCACACCGACCGCCATGTCCCTTCCCCCATGTTTTCTGTTGTTCTTCCCCCTAGAGAGGGATGTATGGTTATGTACCAATCATTGTGATCATTTCTCCCTTTCTCTCTTCCTCTCCCCCTCTCCCCCCTAGCTTCCTGGTATCACTATTCCCATTCCTGTTCCCAGAATCTTACAGCTCTTATCACCATCCATCCATCCACTGTGTCAAGCACATTTGTACATAGGTTGCCATTATTATTTTCAAAACATTTTCTTTCTACTTGAGCCCTTGGTATCAGCTCCTCACCACCCCCCCTCATGAACCCTTGATAATT